GATCTACTATTAGAGAAAGAGAATACAAATAGGTTTATAATCACACAAATTAAACCCTCAAACTAACTCTTAAATCTCTCACAAATATCTCACTCAAAAGGATGCTCAATCTCCTTCTCAAAATCGGCGGCTCAAGTCTTCGCTGCTGCTTTTCTTTTGCACGCCACCACTTGCACCAAAACCCTCTGCAGCAATGAAGTCCCTCCTTTGCACGTTCTTGCACACCACCTAACCCTAGGAAAAACTAGGTATTTATAGGCTTGAAAAAACGCGTAAAGAGATCGTGGGAAAACACGTAAAACACGTCTCATGATGCGTTCCCGCATTGTAAAACCGCGTGGGGAGATAAAGGAAAACACGTCTCGTGGATAACAACTAGCGGTTAAAAACCGCATAGACAACAAATGTGTTCAAAACACGTTGTACGTGGGTGGGCCCCACGTGTTCACAATTCTCCACCTCGACAAAGTTTCTACCAAAACTGAGCCGACACCAACCAAAATAAATACCTCACTTATTACGTCTAGTACGAAGTGAAACGATTCACGACAACGGACTCAATCTATAACAAGTCAAGACCCAAATGAGAATGCAAACACTCTCCAAATGTCGGTATCAACTCACCAAATCGGCTGCATCATAAAGACTACCTACGTATCCTCTTGCCCAAGGAATTAAGTTTTCATATAGTTCACCCAAATGATCTCCAAAGACCCTCAATCCAGTAGAAGAGTTCTCAACCCTTCTCCAATATCATCAACTCTGTGGCTGATAGCACCTCCAATGGCCTCAAAGTGTAACGAATCAAACACCTCCATCTGAGGCGAACCAACGGCCATATCCAAATCCAAACTATGTCCACCAGCTGCACTCGAATCAACCAACTCATCATCTACATCCAAATCAACATGATCTCCAAGTTGTGTCACTTTAGTTGAAATCTCAAACGATGTAGTATGATGTGAAGTATGTGAAGTAATCTTAACCTAACATGGAGTAGCATCACTCTCCACCTGCTGTGATATCTCTATGATCTGTCCAAAACTCTCCACCTGCTGAGAGTCAATAGGCTCCCTCATTGAACCCTCATCCAATGTGACATTACCAGACTAAATATCCAATTAAGTTTTGCCTCCAATCACAACAGTTGACAACTCTTTAATAGGATAATCTAAATATGTCGAAGCCTCAGTCTAGAAACTCTTCTGTAGATTATTACTTGATAACAAACACCGATCCTCCTCCAGCAAGGCACGGTTCTCTAAATTTACCATCCTATCTAGTTGTCCTAAGATTTTCTTTCCAACGAAGTGTCTCAAAATGTCGTGATCTCGGCTCCAATACAGAAACACGTCCATCTTGTACCTCCCACCAAAATCAGAATGAAGTATCTTCACCTTTCTATCTATCACACACTTCTTCAATCTGTTGGAGACTACTAGGATTTTATCCAAAGAGGATTTGATTGTAACCCAAACACACCTAGAACATCCACCAACAAAGAAAACCAAACATCTATTTCTCCTAATGATGTCTCCTTTGAAGGCCCCCAAATATCCATGTGAACCCTATCTGAAAGACCCTCTATGCAGTGAATAGAGGTTCTAAACTTCATACCGGTCTTCTTTTTCACACTAAAGTGTTCACTGGATTTCAAATTGTAGGTCGATGCACCCATCTCCAAATCAATACTGGAACGACAAAGCCCCAAATATTACCGCAGTCTAGTCGAATCAATAGAAGTCGCCAACTCTCCACCTGTCACTGTATCTCCAATTAAATAGTACATATTATTCCTCCTGACGCCCTTCATCATAATCAAAAAGTCTTCCACAATCTCGAGAACCATGTCCTCAACACGAACCTTCAGACCCTCTCTAACCAAAGCTCCAATTGAGATCAAGTTCTCCTCAAGGAAGGAATATATCTCACATCATATAACTTCCTAACAGTCCCGTCAAATATCTTGATGTGAATTCTTCCTATCCTAATGATCTGACATGCACGGTTATCTCCCATGTACACCACACCATTATCCAACTTCACAAGACTGGAGAACTATTCCCTTCTAGGGCACACATGATAGGTCGTACCACTATCCAATATCCACTCAGATTCCTCCGAATAGCTACCTGTAGGATTGATAGAAAGTGAATAAATAGAAGTATTAAAAATATTATCATCCGATATAACTAGGGGTGCTAAACCGTATCCATATCCAATGAAATATCCATAACCGTATCCGTTAGGATACGAATATGGTTACTCAAATCTATAACCGATAGGATTTGGTTATGCATATGGTTTTGTAGTGAAGTATTTGTATCTGTATCCGAAATATCCGAATACATATTAGTAATACTCTTACGATAGTTTTGATTCTTAGATTATGAATTTGTGGTTAATTTTGATGATCAAGATATCTAATCTTAATTTTTTAGTTATAATGGACATATTAACGAACTCTTTTGTATCTCATGAACTATGTTTTTCTCAATACTGTCTAGTTTTCTCATATTCGTTTTGCATCCACATGCATATCCACTTATATATCTGCATGTATATCTGTAACCGTATCCGATTTTAGCGGATATGGTTATAAAATTTTCTTATCGAGATATATTCGCATCCGTATCCGTATCCGAGATGGGTAAGCGGATATGAATGTGGTAAGTATCATATCTGAGCCGTATCCGGATCGAATGCACCCCTAGATATAACGATGTTTGCTTCTGATGATGGTTGCTTTCCTTTTCTCTTCTCCTTATTCTCCATTCATTCGTCAAGCTTTGGACAATCTTTCTTCTAATGATCAGTCTCCTTGCACCAAGCATACTGATCTTTCCCAACTGTAGGATGTCCTACTCTAGACTGTGACTTCTAATTCTTTTGGTTTGGATTCTTCCCTCTTACGATCAATGCCTCCGCTACTGGCTCAACTGAAGCCTCCTTATCTTTCTTTTGAAGCTGATAGTTCACAAGTGCAGTGATGACCTCACTATACGAAAGGGACGCATCCTATTAATTTGGGTAAGAACAAAGGTCTCATATTCCTCATTAGGCAAGGAACTCAATAATAACAATGATTTGTCCTCATCCTCGATCATAGCATCCACATTCGTCAAATCCGTAAGAAGCTTCGTGTAGTGGTTCATGTGATCACTAATGGAGGTTCTCTTTTTCAATTGGAAGTGATAAACCCTCATTTTCAAATGCAAGCGATTTTTCATACTCTTGGTCAAATACTTGCTCTCAAGAGTCTCCCAAATCTTCTTTGCAGAAGTCTCATTCATTACATCATACTTCAAATCTTGTGTTAAAAAAGACCTAATAACACCACATGCCGTCTGGTTCATCTTCTTCCAAATCTTCTCTTCAATAACATTTGGCTTGCCATCCAACTCCAAAGTGTCTTTTAAATTTTGCGCGTCTAGCGCATCCAAAACTTCGTATCGCCAAAATCCAAAGTTGTTCGTACCATTAAATTTCTCCACATCTATTTTCGTAGAGTGGATATTCAAACTTTGAATGATCTTTACACTAGAAGCACCACCCACTTCTTTCCTGGCCATATTCCTCAACACACCAATAACCAATGCGGAACAAACTAAATAATAGATCCAAACTTGAGAAAGATAGAGCTTTACCAAAAAAGATCCCACATTTATCACCAAACGAAGTCCTAGACGAACTTCCAAAACGATCTACTCCTCCAAATAATCCAAGCATAGCCCAAGCTCTGATACCACTTGTTGTGCATAACAAAAATTTTGGCAGCACCTCTGGTGCTCGACAAGAGAGTTGATCTCAACTAAATCTCTGTTTCTCAAAGGAAATAAGAACGAAAGTGATATATCTCAACAAAGTGGGATATACACTCTTCCTCTCATCAGTTCTAGGACTGACTTGTCGAGGGAACCAAAACCCTCTATTACAAATCATAGTACGAACAATCAGTTTTAACATGGTTTGGCAAGTTTTCTACATCCACTGGGCAATGAGGTGATATCTACCATTAGAGAAAGAGAATACAAATGGGTTTATAATCACACAAATTAAACCCTCAAACTAACTCTCAAATCTCTCACAAATATCTCCCTCAAAAGGATGCTCAATCTCCTTCTCAAAATCGATGGCTCAAGTATTTGCTGCTGCTTTTCTTTTGCATGCTGCCACTTGCACCAAAACCCTCTGCAGCAATGAAGTCCCTTCTTTGCATGTTCTTGCACGCCACCTAACCCTAGGAAAAACTAGGTATTTATAGGCTTGAAAAAACATGTAAAGAGATCATGGGAAAATGCGTAAAACATGTCTCGTAATGCGTTCCCGCGTTGTAAAACTACATGGGGAGATATGGAAAAACGCGTCTCATGGATAACAACCAAAAATTAAAAACCTCGTGGACAACAAACGTGTTCAAAACGCATTGCACGTGGGTGGGTCCCCACGTATTCACAGTAAGCTTCCACGTATCATTCTTCTCAATCTCCTTTATCTCTTCTTTCATTGCATTTATCCACTTAGAATATTGAATAGCCTCTTCAAACATAACTAGCTCACAATCTACAAATATTGCAAATTGCAATATATCTCCATCTGCATCAACATTATTATCTAGAATTACTTCATAATCTCTCAAGAGAACTGATGGTTGGCGATTTTTTATTGATCTTTCAACTTCTAATGGAACTTGCGGGGCTGGAGCTTTAGGAGCATTGGTCGGTGGTGCTTCTTCAGTTGCAACAGGGACACCGTCTTCAAGAATATCAAGGAGAGTACATCGTGAATTATTTTGTGCTTCTAGATCCCAATTCCAAGCTTCTTCTTTAGCAAACATAACATCTCTGCTTACAATCATCTTCTTTGTAGTAGGATGGTAGAGTTTGTAGCCCCCAGACTTGTAGGCAATAAAACTGTCTTCTCGCCTCTAAAATCAAGTTTCTTTCTTCTTTCTGCTGGAATATGAGCCTAAACAATGGAGCCAAACTCTTTGAAATGTCTTATTCTTGGTAACTAGTCCATGCCTCTTCAGGAGTAAGATTATCAATGCACTTTGTTGGTGACCTATTCAATAAGTATGCAGCGCATGAGATAGCTTCACCTAAAAAATAATTTGGCATACCTTTGGCCTTTAGCATGCTTCTCGCCATGTCAAGTATCGTCTGGTTTTTCCGTTCAGCGATGCTATTATGCTGAGGTGTATAGGGAAAAATAACATCACACTTTATTCCTTCTTCTGCATAATACTTATTGAATTCATTAGAAGTATATTCACTTCCTCAACCTGTTCGTAGTACCTTGATAAAGTAACTGCTTTCCTTCTCAACTGGGGCTTTAAAGCTCTTAAAATAATCAAAGACTTTAGATTTTTACTACAAAAAATAAACCCATATTTTCCTTATGAAATCATTAATAAAAGTAAGGAAGTATCGATTATTGCCATTGGATATAGTGTTCATAGGACCACAGACATCTGAATAAACGAGCTTAAGAGGCTTCTTTGCACGCCAAGTATTTTCAATACCAAAGAATGATCTATGTTGCTTTCCAAGAATACAACATTCACACAGCTAATTAAGATGATCTATCACGGGCAAGCCTCTCACCAAATTTCTTTGTGCAAGCAACTTCAGAATATGAAAGTTTAGATGTCCAAACCGAAGAAGCCACAACTAAGACTTATATTTCATAATAGCATTGAAGCAATGATAAACATCATTCTGGATGCCAACTCAAAATATGTGATTATTTGTCATAGGGGCTTTAAGGATAAATATACCTCTTTTATCAAAGATTAGGAGTTGATTATCAGAAAAGCGCGGATCATACCCCTTTTTAAGAAGTTGGCACATACTAAGTAAATTGTTCTTCATATTCAGCATATAGGATACATCGGAAATGAACTTGTGGTCTCTGTTCTTCAGCTTGATTAGAACTCGCCCTTTTCCCATCACTGGTATAGTGTTGTCATCGGCAAACTTGACTTTGGACCGCATCGACTCATCCAGGTCTACGAACAACTCTTTCTTTTTATATATATGATTAGAACACCTAGTGTCAAAAAACCATGTGTTGTAGTCTGATTCTTCACTGGCTATTGTGACCATCAATAAAGTGTGGTTTTCTTCATCATCTATTTCTTGTGCAAATCGAACTTCTTCTCCAGATTGGGAATTATCCTGGTACTTGCACTCCTTTGTATAGTGGCCATATCTGTGACATATGTAACATTGACTATTTAATTTATTAAAATTTCTTCAACCACGTCCAAAGCCTCGATATTAACCTCGATAATTTGAATTTGATTTATAATTGCTTCTCTGATTGTCATCATCTCTTTGATTGTTGTTATAATTGACACATCCTTGACTATTGCAGTATTCGCGTCCTCGATTATTATATTTCCCGTATCCTCGTCCTCTGCCACGGAAATTTCCTCCTCGCTGGTCTCTTTTGTACTGTACTCCTTTGTTATTTTTTATAAAAGCTTAACTTTGAAAAGCTTTCTCAAGGGGCTTCTCGGTTGACCTCTCGTTCATGTATTGCTCATGAACTTGTAAGGTACCTATAAACTCATCAATTGTCATCTTGAACAAATCCTTCAATTCTTCGATTGCCACCACGATATGATCAAATTTTTCCGTAAGAGATTGCAGTATCTTCTCCGCAATTGCTAAATCTACAACCTTTTCCCTGTTTATTTTTATTTGATTTGTCAAAGTAAGTACTTGAGTCATGTAATCTGCAATACTTTCAGCGGGTTCCATCTGCAAAATTTCAAATTGACGCCACAATGTTGAAGCTAACTTTTTTCACCTTCTCAACTCCATGGTACGATGTCTCCAAAGTATTCTACGCTTGCTTTGCTGTAGTTGCTCCGTCGATCTTCTAAAAAATTAAATCATTTGCTTCTTGATGGATGTAGAATAACGCCTTTCGATCCTTCTTCTTGATCTCACTGTGGGCTTTCTTCTCAGCTTCATTTGCACTATCTGCGAGATCGACAACTTCGTTCTCTACGACACCTAATGTATCTTGATATTCAAACAACACCTTCACCTGCACTCTCCACCGCTGATAATTCTTCCCATCCAATATAATAGTAGAAGGCGACGTCGTCCCGTTTAGATTGTTCATGGCTCTGATACCACTGTTGGAGCAATCAATGGCAAATCAAATAGAAATATAATATATATGATGAGAGATTTAGTGGGAGAAGCAAATAAAAAACTATTTTTAACTCTCAGTTATTGTAGCTACAGTACTCGCCCTTGTTTTTTTTTCTCCTTTTCTCTTAGGTAGAAGGATGCATAAATGATTATTTAAAGGCTTTACAAAGTGTTTCATAATAGAATTCTAGTATGACTATAAGTCCTAGAGATTAGAATTAGGATTTGTTAAAAGAGAGAGAGAGAGAGTCTTGGGATAAATTTCTCTTAGATTAAGTAAAAAATACCTCTATAGGATTACAGGAAATTCGCCTGCGAGAAGAGCTCGCACGCTCGGTTCTCTGGCACGGGCCTAAATCGCATAGACATCGCACATGCTCGATTCTAGGTTCGCCTTACGGTCGGCTCGCCAGCACGAGTTAAGATCGATCAGGATGGCGGAAGTTCGCCTTTCACTCAACTCGCCTGCCCGAGTCCAGAGTCGAATCCGCCAGCAAACCCCAAGACCGTCAGTACAGCTGGGTATCCACTACCCCACGTGCTGAGATGGACCTTCCCATCTCTCTCGACCCGAAGGGAGAGAGAGCACAGTACCCCAGGACCGTCAAACGGCCGCTCGCAGTGCGCACAGCGCGAAGGGACTGGACAGGTGTCGAGTCAACCTGAGCATTCATAAATGCGACTCACCTCGGATGTCTGAGCCAAGAGCTGGATCCGCCGGCACTCGGCAAGCTGGCTAGACCCACTCGAGTACTGTACACCTACTTCACCGCCTCTCCTGACCGGAAAGGAGAAAGCGTCGTGCTCAAAGCACGCCGGGCGGTCACGCACAGTACAAGTGATCGGACAGACACTTCATCGATCTGCGAACTCATAAATGCGGTTCATTAATGCTGGTCAAATCCACTCGGATAGCAGTCGTTCGTTGCCTCATATACAAGAATGGGCCTTCCCATCGTAGGTGTCAGGACATAGAGCACAATCCCTGGAATGACCGTTCATGGTATCGAGGAACGGCGAGACGTCTCTGAAGAGGATGTGGTCACATCCCACAATTCAAGGAGAAGTCAAGTTGTCCTTCTTCTATTTAAAAAACCCCTTCCAGCACACTGGAGGAGAGGTCGCAAAACTTGGAGAAAAAGAGTTGAGACCAAGCTGTTAGCAGATCCTTGCATTACAGCACCGCTACCTGGTTCCGAGCTCCGATCGTTGACGAACTAAGTAGACCCGAACTCTATTACCCCGAGCTTCTACTGCGAACTGAAGCTCTCCAGCAACCTCATTCAAACGGTCCAAGGGAAGCAGACTCGACCCGAGCATCGAGCGAAGCGTCCTATAGCCACCTAAAGTCCCCACACAAAACAAAGAGGGCCTTCCCTCTGCTTCTGTTGTAAACATTTGATTTGTTAGTTTGTAATAAGCTTTCTTATAAATACAAACGAAACTCCTTTCTTCGGAAGAATCAAATTTTCACCCTACAGAAGATGGCGACCACAGTGGGAGAATCCGTTCATTCAGATGAATTGGTGGTGGCGCAGTCCGACGAAGTTGCTGCAGGGACTACGGTTGAGTCCCTTGTGATCAAATTCGAGGGGTACTTACAATCGTCCTCTTCTGGCGGCAATACATCTCGCGATAACTGCATAGTCGTGCGGGTGGCCCAGCCCCAAGAGGCCGAGGCAACCAAGCCTGAGGGATCTACCCAAGCCGAGGCAGGGGGTTCTTTTCCCCCCAAACCAGTTGAGGCCGAGGGACGACAGTAGAGTCCCTCGAAATCGAGTTCGACCAGGCCAAGTACGAAGAATACTTGTCCTCCTCCTCCTCGGGTGGCAATGCGTCCCGCAAACGCCACAGAGCTGTGCGCCGAGGCCGACCTCAGACGGTCAAAGCCTCCGCACCCGAGGGTTCCAACCGAGTCTCATCGGAGGAGCCCACTCCCTCGCGATCGATCAAGGCCAAGCCAGAGATCGAGCGCAAGAGGCAAGGGTCTGCCAGATGGATCGCCAAGCGGTCCACACAGACACCTACCTCGGAGGAAGCGCCGGTTCACTCTGGCACAAACCGCAATGCCACAACCCACGGTGACGTTCTCCCCGCTGGGAGAACTAACCAACAGCGACGGCAAACACCCGTCAGACAGAGGGTCCAAACCCCCATTTCTCATAATGGCCTGAACCATCATACAGGCCCGAGAAACACTAGACGGGAAGGCAAGTTGCCCGACCTCGGAAGGCCCTCCAAATCAGGAGCGTCAACCGAGGACAGCAGAGCCATCCGCTCAGGAGGACTTCGCTTCTCAGGTCATATCCCTGATGCGAACAAACCACACCGAGCATACGAGCCTACCCAAGTAGGCGAATCCTCGAAGGCTGGCGAGCCTCGCCATAATCATTTGGCGGATAAACGTAAAGGAAAGGAAATAGGCGGTTCCTCCCGAACCCGCTCTTCTAAACATGGGGTCGAAACTCGCCCACGTACTGGAGTTCGCTCAAACGCGAAGACTCGCCAGTCAAGGCGAGATCGCCCGACTCCAACACCAAGGCGTTCCACCCAACGCGCGCCAGAGAGAGCGCCCAAAAATCTCTCGTCAGCTCACCAGAGCGACTCTTCTGAGGCTGGGGGTTGTCACCAACCACCCGTAGAAGACCTCAGAGAATTCTTGACTCGCAAACGCACTATTCACGAGGCGAATCCTCAGTGTCATTGCGAGAGACTCATCCACACGGTCCTCGCCGACTGCCAATGCGTTGGAACGGCGAAACCTTCGGTATTTGAGAGGCTTTCTCAACAGGCCTCTCGACCAAGGCCCTCCCGTCGAAGGCGCCGTCACCAGAAAAGACGCGTTAATGACGACCTGGAGCTCTCATCCGCCACGGTCAACATGACGGATAAGGGAAAGGCGGTACTCTCCGACTCGCCAGACTCGGACTCCGTCTTAAGACCTGATACCCGGTCCGCTCGACGCCGGCAGGAGGGCATATTCCAGCGAACCCGTAGTCGCAGGGGGGTAAGTATCGGGTTTGACTATTCCACCCTAGTACCTCCCTCCTGCGGCGAAGACGAGGTTCATTCGGCGGCGGCCACATCCCAGACCTCGCGCTCAAGTCAAGACGGCACAATTCTTTTAAAAATTTAGCATAAGATGGAATTTGTTCAATTACATCTAAGAGAGGAATGTTGACCTTAACCTGCTTGAATGTCTCTAGGATTTTCTCCTCCTGAGGAGAGTGTTTCCTAGACCTGAGTCTATCTGGAAAGGGAGCAACCGGTCTAAATCTATCAAAAGCAGGCTCAGGTTCGGGTTCAGGTTCTTGGTCATCTGAGGGGAGTGATTGTTGAATAGATTCATCAGAAGGAGAAGGAGAAGGAATTTGTACAGGATCAAGAGTTTGACTTGGCGGAGTTCTCACTTGATTATCGACCTGTCTACCTGACCGAAGTGAATGGATTGCATTCACTTGAGCTTCATAGGATGAACTGCATCCTGTGTTATTAGGGTTGACCACGGGTTGACTCGGAAATTTTCCTTTCTCTCTTTCACTCACGGCACTAGCTAGTTGACCAAGTTGGGATTCTAATCTAGCTATAGCTTGAGTGTTGGAGTTGAGCATTTGTCCGGTTGATTGCATGAAGGAATTCAACGTGCTAGATGTTTGAGTCAACATATTCGTGGTTTGAGTAGAGGCCTTAATTATGGTTTCTAAACCCCTTTCCAAGATATTGAGACGTTTATCCTGATCTGGATTGTGAGGAGTCTGAATTACAGCTTGATGAAGAGGAGACTGATTTTGATACGGCAGATTGGGTTGTTGAAATTGTGAATGAGAATTGAATGGAACTGTGTTTCCCCTAGGAAAATGTTGGGTCGAAGCGGGAGTGAAGTTTTGAGTTCCGGGAGAATTTCCTTGATTCCATGCAAAGTTGGGATGATTTCTCCAACCTGGATTGTAGGTTGGAGAAAATGGATCATTTCTAGGGTGCTGGAATGCAGCGTTCATCTGTTCTATTGCGTTGTTATTTCCTAGGAGAGGGCATTCCTCTGAAACGTGGGTAGGAGACTGACAATTATGACATCCTGGGAAAGAAACATGATTGAGTTGAGCTGGAGCTCGTTCCTTAATTTCTAAGGCTTCTAACCTCCGCAGAATTGTCGCCATCTTCGCTTCAGAAGCAATGTTTGACTCCAAGGAAAGACCACTAGACTTAGAATGGGGAACTGATGAAACCCTGTCATCGCACTGTTCCCATTGCATTGTTTTTTCAGAAAGACTCTCCAAAAACTCCCAAGCTTCATCAGCATTTTTCCTCATAAAATCCCCGTGGCACATTGATTCTAAGGAAGTTTTTGCAGAATAATCTAATCCCTCATAAATTATTTGGCACAATCGCCATTTCTCTAAACCGTGATGAGGACATTGGATGAGAAGATCTTTAAATCGGTCAAAATACTTCCAAAAAGGTTCTCCCGGGATAATTTTAAAGTTTTGAATGCTGTTCCTAAGCTTTACCGTTTTATGAATAGGAAAAAATTTCTTAAGAAAAACGGTAACAAATTCATCCCAAGTTGAGATGGAATTTGTTGGTAAGCTGTACAACCATTTTTTAGCTTTATCCTTAAGAGCAAATGGAATAAATCTAAGCTTAACCGCATCTTCATTTAATTCTCTCATTTTAATCATAATACACACTTCCTCAAATTCCGAAATAAAAATATATGCGTCTTCTGTTTCATTACCAAGGAATTTGGGAAGCATGTTTATGTATTGCGGTCTAAGCTCAAAACTTATTCCATTTGTTTCGGGGAGCCTAATGCATGAGGGGATTGCATTCCTAATGGGATAGCACATATCATGAAGAACGGGTGGATTAGGATGCTCCATTTCTATGATTGGTTCAAAGCGAATTAATCGATGTGTATTATCCCTAATCCACTGTTGCATACACCAAATTTTTTTTTTATTTTTTATT